GAGGTTCGGTTTAATTTTCTATGTTCTTCTTTCTTCAAAAAGGCCCCAAGGGTACCATTGGGCATCCATTCTGAAACCATACTATAAAAAGGTCGTCCTTCGTCAAACACTCCGAGAAGAGGTAATATATTCTGATCGTGAAGTTGGCGCCATAACAATATTTCGCGTCTCGCCTGCTAACGTAGAACGCGTGTAAGTGTAATCGACGCCTCGGGTAAATCGTATTACCAACCATAATAGCATTCTCGTCGTCCTGTTTAAATATACGCGGACGTTTAACTGCCACAAGTTTATCTCTCCATTTCCCTTGAAATACGTCAGAAAAAGCACCACCAGCAATTGGAAAGTCGCTGCTCAGGATAACCTCCTCGATGGCTAGGGTTGAGGGGAGAACATCTGCTTCTTGGGCTAGCTTTCGCAACGCCTTAATACACTTTTCTCGGAAGATATGGTCTGTTTTTCGAAATTTGTCAATTACCTGCATTGTTTATGAGTTAGTTTATTTGATGAAAATGCGAATGTATACCGTTTGTAGATGAGTTACACAGATTTCAGCTTCGTGACCCCTATACTTCATCAACTGTGAGCGACTTCTATCCTTTGAAAGGATGGTACGAATAGCTGGTATGAGTTGCTCTTCTTTCACCAACTCATTCCTAAGGATATCAAAATCAGAATCACTAGCTTGTTGCGCTGAAGACCGCCTCCTAGGGACAGGCATGAAGGTGGTTGTGACCGCAGCTGTGGCAAAGCGTGATAAGATATGCTCTACCCAAGCTAATTCTACTTGCCGTATACATGGTTCTGCAAAGAATCACCACATGTGCTACACTGGCAGCACCTTCGGTGAATGGCACACTGAGAAAACACGAGGCTGATTTGCAAAAGAATGCTAATGTTCCGTAAGTACGCGTAGAATGTGGTGCTTGTGTCAACAAGCTACACAGATTCAATGTGGCCCCCGGATCGATTTGACGGATCAGCCGGCAGCACTAGCAGTGTGGCTTCTAGAGATGAGCATTCAATTGACAATTCTACGCCAGATCGACTGGCAACTGCTGTCATGCGAACTTCAAGTCCATAAGCTCTGAGCAAACTACAAATGAGGTAATACTGCATGACTCACGCGAGCTTCTGTGACAGGAACTGTTATAATGCGTGTTCACAGATCTTACCAAATTTATAGGATCCATGCCATGTGACGAATACATCTTGTTGACTTAAGGGGGGAATTTCGTGTGCCAGATCGAAATGCAGTGCCTCGAAGCCAACGGATATACTTAATCTCGATCTCCGTAAGCTACCATGAAAAGTAATCGTCTTCCTCGCATCTTAGTGAACTCTAGACTCATGGATATACCCGCTGCGGTAGCATAGTGGACCTAGTTGTTCAATGGCCGCAACTACCCTCGGGTGAGACATAAATCCCCTTCTAACACACCGTAAGAATGCCGGTATGACAAAATTACAAGGGGTTGGATAAATCAAATCAAAGATAGCTACCGAGGTTGTCAGATTATGGCGTGAAGAACAAAATGAGCAACTCACTGAGAAGTCACATTCGCCTGTTAAGTTCGAAAGCTCCTTCATAGCCGTCCAATCTCAATGGGGTTAAAGCATCTCTCCAGCGCCCAACCAACTTGCCTCCTACAAGATATCCTCGGTAAATCCACTTTGCACGGCTCTCCGTTTCATGCTGAATGAACGGGGTTAAAATATCGGAACAGGCACATTATTGAGAACGCTAACATATTGTTTTAAAACTGTCACCAAACCATCGGACGCTCTGACCCGACCCCGGAGCTCAAAGTCGCCCCAGGATGAATGACCCTAAACGGGCGTAAGTATCCGTTCGACTTACACAATATACTGCAGTTGATTGTCTTGAAACACACGCACCTCACCAAGAACGACAACGTCGCATAGCTTCTGATTGTCCTTTGTTGGCTCATGGAGATATCTGAAGTACTTCGACTGCTCTGAACCATACGCAAAAATGGCATGGTCATCTTTTTCATCGATTATTATTTGAGGAAAGAAGGCATCGAAAGCATCCCCGATAGGAAGTGAATTTTGTGACGCCTTCTGTGAATATAAGGACTCGGAGTACAAATTGTACTCGCGAAGCTTCCAAATCTGGATGTTTTGACCTATCGCGCCATCATAGAGTGTTTGTGGTGGTGCACCCGACAGAATGGCTGCATAGACAGTAAATTCCGTGTACTTGTAGACAATGTGATTTAGGGTAAGGAGAGGATGGTAAGGGATTATCTTACTGTGAACAGTCCTTCCCAGGCCCCTTCAAGCGTTCCTGGGCGATAGACTCGCTCTAAATTAGGTTTGCTCCCATCGGCCTTGGAGACGATGCAGCGTTCCCAGTCACAGTCCCAGCGATGACTAATGGCGGTTGCAGTCGATGCTTCCGTGTCAAATGTTACAACCCCAGTATCGCTTAAACCAGTGTCAATTTCCATAGGCTTGGTGTCATGAATCGTAGATCTTACCTTTCTGACACGTGCATGCGAGACATGTATCCGAGAATGGCGGGAATCGATATAGCAGGGGAAACAACAACCGAAGAGAGACCATAATGTGTATATACCATTTGTGTGGTGGTCGGGACCGTATAAGGGTGGGTGTAGTCAGTCCACGGATGTGCAGTTAATGGGTACTGCACGCTTGTGTTATAGCACTCCCCGAACAATTAAAATATAAGGTAGGACTGACTTTGTTCGCGGCAACAGCATATGCTCGCAGAATGTCGCAATACATTCGTCGGATGGTAGACGAGTAGTTCAAGCTAGTTCTATCTGCATCTATACATCATTCAGCCAACGATGTATCGTATGATCTCCTGACTTCTTAGAAAGACAGACCGCAGAGCCAAAGCAACCACATCGCCAGTCTGTTATCCTGATTATCCCGCGGCCAATGCTTTGCGTATATGTCATCTGAGGCGTATGAGCCTCCAGAATGATCTAAGAAGAAGTCAAGTAGCCACTGTTCTACAAAAGCGAAGTGCTTGAGCTGCACAGCATTCTTCCCATCATTCTAAGACGGCGGTGCCATTGAAGTAGGTTAAGTAGGTGGGAAATACAATATATCGTACCTCCAACATTAGGAATATCGCCATCCAAAGGTCATGTTCACGATTCCCCTCAGAGCGAGGGCGGCTTCCCATTCCTGCTCGAATCCGCTTCATACTCTCGAAGCGATTACGCAGTTCTATGGCCAAGGCTGATGCGGTGATGCGTTCAGGTCCAAGACGACGCATAGGCGCAGTGAAGTCAAACTTGTACCGAAAGATTGAAGCATAGAGGGAAGGATTGTCGGCGAAACGGAGTGACGCATAGATCGTGCTCGAGGTGCAGCAGAGGTGGACGAGGTCAGATGGTGGTCCCTTGAGCTCTGAGGCTGCAACGAAGAAGGCAATTTGTTGAAGCAGCTCAGCAGGGATTGTCTCGATTGTATAGGGAGCGGAGATTGGAGAAAAACTCGCCGTCATCGAGATCCTACAGTAGTAAAGACGGAGGAGCGGGACCAAAAGCTATGACTGTGGGAGTCTCGCGTCGAACTCATCTCCAGAGAAATCGTCGTACACATACATGTATGTGCAATATAGTACGTTCTCTATAGGATGCGTATCTAAGGAAATTCAATTTTATTACTCGTGTCGAAATTACACTTCGACCAGTACACAATTCTACAACAGACAAGCGGCATATCCCAGACAAACAATCTAAAGCTCTGTAAACTAAATCAGGATAGACATCATTGAGTGGATTGAGTGACATACTCTGCATGGCAGCAATATCTGTGCTCTGGATGTAGTCCTCGAATTCGGCACATTTCTCTTGCAGGTCATCAAGCGAGACTTTCTCATCCTCTGCTCGAAAATCAGTATATAATGTAGGCCCAAAACATAGCGACGCGTACCAACAACAAGGGTAATCTGAAGCTTCTTGATGCCGTATCCAATGGCCACAAGTTTTGAGTTACCCCAGACTAGCCCGTCTTGTTCAATGGAGCGGACAGAGTCCTCTAGGGCTTGCATGTCCGTCTCGTCATCCCATGGTTTGACATCTAATGTCACAACGGACTGCAATGTTCGACGATGAGCAGATGTGAAAGATACAACAATTAAAATCACCTTAGCAATAGTCTTGGGCTTGTTCGCCTTCTTGGCATTGTAAGCGGCAACACGTTCAGCCTTAACCCTCTCAGCTTCGGCGTCCTCTTCATCGTCTTCACCGAAGAGGTCAATATCCTCGTCCTCGTCCGCAGCTGGTTCATCAACGGCAGCTCCTGAGATAAAGGCCTCGCCAGCCTTCGAGGAGCCAGCAAGATCTTTGTGTTCTACCTCGTACGACTTGATGTGGTTGTACCAGCGTGCGGTATTGGGGTGAGAAGAAGCATCCGGAGCGGATCCAAGAGCAGAGAAAACGTGCACGTCCGCTTGAGAGGGCGTGTAACTGTATGAGGAAATCGCTAAGATCAGTTACAATCGATGGCAAGAAAGCTCGACGGTAGAAGTAAATACGATTCAGATAGCTAGGTTATAGGTTGTCGGCATACTCTGGCGAGCGGTGTCTAATCGCTCTTGCTTGGAAACACGGACCATAGCGTTGTACTCATCACGAAAGAAAGAGGCGAGAAAGAGATGAGAAAAACTAATGCTTACCCTTCAACATAAGATCGCGTAGCGAGGTGGGCCTCAAGTTTCGAGAGATTAGCAGACATTGATGGCGAGAACGAGGGAGAAGAGGAGAGGATGAAGATGTGAGGCTGATTCTGTTTAGCGAGAAAATTTGTACACGCGCTGGCCGTGCTTTAGGGCCGGTCGTGCATACTGTACAGGCACCCACAACTTTTATGTAACAAATTACCTGAGTAGTATACCTATTGTCATATTAGGCCTAGGTGGGTTAGATTTTAAGTTTTCGATTATGGAAAGTCAGTGCAAGAATTTAAAGCGTCAAAGAATCTGAAATTAATCGCAGGGGCATGTGGTTTAGTGGTATAACATTCGCTTAGCATATGGCTTGCGAAAGGTCCGGCGTTCAATTCGCCGCTTGTCCATTGTATGGTTTGAGCCGTTTCATTTTTATGAGAAGCTCTGGGGTCGTAACAACATTTTTACCCAACGATCCTTGTATGTTTCTATTCATACACATGCATACCAAAAACTAAGTACCTGTATCGGTTTAAAATACAATTCTGCCAGAATCTACAAGCATCGATACAAATGTATTCAAAGGAGTGGGGATGAAAGGAGGGGTGGTTTTTTTTGCACAGCAATCACGCATACACCGCGGTTTTAGTCCAGAACCGTCAATCCGGCAAAGCTCTCCTTTCCCAATGCCTTGATCATAGTATCCACCGGGTCGAGCTTCTTCTTTGCTACCTTCGTCACCTCTTCAAACTCGCCCTCCTCTTCTGTCTTCGTCTCCACCTGCACTTCTTCCTCGGCGGTCTCTTCTCCTAGGAAGATCTTCAACAACCCGGGGCTGAAGCCACTAAGGAGTGCCACGCCTTCTTCATCCTTTGTGATCGGCTTCGATACACTTCCGGCGAGATTCCTGTAACCGAACCCTCAAAATCGAGCAGAAAAAAGCAGACAAAAGACTCACCAGTAGACTATCTCTGGCACTTCATAACCTGCTTCCGAGAATTTCTCTTTGATAATCTGGTGTTCTGTCTTCCATTCGCTAGTCTGCCCTCGCTGGCCCCGACTGGCATCAAATTGCATATCCGAGAACCTGCATCACCGATAAGGTTCAATACGCACGGTCATGTAGACAAAATAAAGAGCACGTACACGAAAAGGCGTTTCACCATGTCCTCAGGCTTGATCTTGTGCTCTATCGCCATAGGGAGAATCAGCTTCGTAAAGATTGCGTTGAAGTCAGTGTTCATTCCCCAAGACGTCTGAGACATCTTCCATGCAATTTCAGCGAGACCATCATTCGGATTCAGGGAGACGATTTCAGGCTGTTGGCTGAATGTGATAAAATTGTTCCCCCAAGGTGGACGTGAGACCTGTGCCAAAATAATGGACAATGCGACAGCGGGACAGATAGGACTGTTTGGGTTCCCACCCAGACTACCCATGCTTCCTGAAACGTCGCATACTGCTAACGCATTATCGAGGCTTCCAGACTCTTTTATCCGGTCCACCATCGATTTCCACTGCGCCTCGATAACCTGGATTTGTATCTCTGCCTCATTGGTACCTTTCCATCCCTGCAAACTTGGATGAGCATACCTCATCGCCTCACTAAGAAGCTGATTCGGGAGTAACGTTGCTCCGCTGATCTTCTTCCTCCCCTGTGCAACGTCCATCAAATACCGCGAGAATCGCATGGCATCACGTTTGAAGAAATGCTTCTTGTTCATCTGCATGCACTTGGACGGCACACGGGTGTACTTGATCTTATCCCACTGTCGAGCCGACATGGCGACCTCTGGAATCTGGAGAAAGCGGCGAAGGGGAGAGACCACCCAGCGGGTGTACGCACTGCGGAGTTTGTGTGCGACGTCTTGAGTCAGTGGCTGTTCCAGTGGAGCAATAGGGAGGGGGAGATGTGCTTCACTGTAGAGTAGCTCAGCAATGGCTGTCACTATGTTTGTGGCCCGGTCATGGCTCCCACCAATCGACGGAGCCCATTTGCCTACTAAACTCAGTTCATATGCCAACGCAACCCGGCGTTCTGCGTTGGTATTTTCGTCAGCAATTTGACGTAGGATCTTGACATCGCGAGCTAGTGCATCAGTATAGAGTCGAGCGACGGTAATATATAAGGCCCGAAAAGATGTATCCTCGGCCAATTTTCGAGTAAGAGCTTCGTGCTGAACTTTCTGCTTTTGGAATCTAGACTCTTTTGCTGCGTCCGCCTTTGCCTTGTTGCGCGCGAGTGCTAGCTGGATACGTTGTTCAGGAGTCTCGCCTTTTGGAAAAGTCTCCAGCTTCAATTCATGCCCCCGGCTATGCAAAGCATCCAGCGGGGAAAGTGGATGGAGTTCATTTTTCGCAGCTAGGAGGAGTAGGTTCAGAAGGTCCTTCCAGTATCCATGAGGCATTCCAACTGTGATTGTCTCTTCCTCAGGGTCAGCTTGCATCTCGTCTCTTGTCACTTCCTTTATAGACACTACCTCTATATCCTCTTCTACTTCAGATGTCTGCGGCTTCTTTTTGATGGTACGCTTGACGCACGGTTCGACAAGGAAGCGCAGATTCCCAATGGCAGTCTTAGGATGTTCCTGGTAAAGCCATGCGAAGGCACGATAGAATGATTCCCGAGCTGACTTCCCCTCATGGATGGAGCGAAGGTTCCAGATTATTCGTAGAGTCACCGTTGGATCAGACTTCCAGCTGTCGGTAAGTAATCCTGGTATATCCCTGGAATCCATGTTCTGTCCCAAAGAGGAAAAGGCATCAAGGCTACATGATAACGTAGACTTATAAGCGTCTGCGTCGTTTGTTGTAGTAGTTCGGTTTTGGGTTGTTTTAAGGGCGTCCATGAATGGGAACTCAGTAGGAGAGGGGTTAGGGGGGAGCTTGTACGGTTTGGACGGAATAACGTGAGGGAAAAGAGCATCCAGGGTTTTGTCAATTGGTTGGTAAAGTCCACGGATGTGGGGAATAGTGACAGTGCGCTCAGATTGGCTGGCGGATGAAGTGTTTATCGTCTTGGAAGACGGCGCAAACGGGTTGCTCCTCGAAGCCTCTGCGGGTGCAGTTGCAGTCGACATGGCGGTCTGTAGTGGTAGCGTGAGCTCAAATAGGATGACTAGGACTTGAAGAAAATGCAAACCTTGTAGAGCGACAATTGGTGAGCTGCTACGCGTACTGCCAGTACACCTATGTAAGAATTAGCCAATAACACCAGAGTTGAGTATCACTCACCGTAGGTCGTTGTCGTCACTGCACGTAAGAGCAGGGTTTGAGAAGGGCTAAATAGTATAGGAACCATAAACGAGTCAGATACATGCCTGCAATGGTTAGGCGCTAATCTGCCTTGACTCGGCTCCAGTGACTGTTTCGCAGTGGGCAGCCGGGCTCTCCTATATTCTCAAGGAGAACCGCAATCAAACACCGCACGTTGACGATGAAATGCAGCTTCTAGGTGCATTTTCTTCCCTCCGAATGTGTCTTGCATTCTAGATACCAAGGAGCTTGCATCGTTACTCGTGAGACTGCAGGATCGTTCTCGTTTGGTGGCTGGCTTATGACTCGGACGCAACGTGTAAGAGCTATGCCTCATATTTAGAACGCCCTCATCGTTGTCACCAGCACCCAGCCACACAAAAAAGCTCTCTACTCATATCCATCCTGACATGGCGCCTAACGAACACCTCAATCTCGCCTGTGGTGCACTCACCTTAGAACACATGTTCTTGCCACCAGAAATGAGTGTGATTCGGACACACTAGCTCACCATTCGTTCTACCCCTATCTTGCCCGCGGGTTTATCTATGTACCCGGTGAGAGTCATGCTATCTAGTCTCCCAGATTGATGGCGCCCCGCGAATATGGAGTGGAGTGATATTTTCTTTGCAGGACTGCAGGACTCTGTTCGGGTTTACTAGTAGTGCCATGCCAAGGTTCAAGCCCTGGACAGTCATAATCAGTCATAATCCCCTCTTAACCCTCGGACATCAGCCAATGACTATAATGTGCAGTGCATCCCCCCCTTCAGAGCGTCATACTTGTCGACGTCTACCTGATACATAAAACGAGACATTGGACGCATGGCTCAAACCCTATGATAATTATCTTAAAGTTCATCTGTACTTGGACAGATTGTTCCGCATTAGAAGGAAAGCCTACAGAACAGCGAAACGAAACTGATACGCAGGAAATACATTTTTCTTACAGCTCTTGCTATGCGTTGTTCGCTCGAAAGGACTATTGGCGCGTGCACGAGCGACCATGCGCCATGTACCACCTAAGAGACCCTTTTGGTCATTCGCCTCCCACTTCACGCGGCGCACATCCCAACGAAGAATCAATGGTATGAATTTTCACGTTCCCGAACTTACCGGATTTTATAATAACATAACATATGAAATCTGCATATTAGCGCGGTATATTCACAGGACTTCCTTCGAGTTCTGCCCGGCTCGGATTCCTTTGTTCGTACTGGCATTTACATATATGATCCTAATACTTTTGTTAGCAAAAGGTGCAGATAGTACATGACATCACATTCGCTCAATCGAATCCGTGAACCAACCAAAGCTCTTTCGAGGACCGTCAGCAAAGTAAGGCTTTCAGGTGCATGCGAACGCGTTAACCGTGATTGCAACGCTTCACAGCAAGAGCCTATGGGATATGACTAATTATAAACGATAATCTTCGGTTCAAGACTACAGTTTCCTCAACAAAACCTTGCTCTTTTCCTGTCCAAAATCATACATATTATCAACTTAATTGCATTTCGTGCTTGGTAGTAGTGTTTGTCTTCGTGTGCGGAACAAGTGCATACTATAACTGCGTATTCAGAGACTCGAATTTATTGACAATTACGACAGTAACTACCCAATCATACACACTTAATACCCGATAAAATCAAGTTATAATAGATGATGGAGAAACTACCTCAGTCAATTAACTCTCTTATTACGACTTGATATTTTTCCTAGCGTACAAAGGAGAGCTCCACATTCCATTCATAGTCCATTGACTAGCGGAAGTTTGATGCCAGGCGGCGTGATGACGATTGTACGACGTTGCGTAAAATTTTCGACGTCTACCCGGCCATACCCCGTCGCACCTCTGAAATACACAACATTAGCTTATGCCCAGCATATTGGACGGAGACAATACCCTAGACCATGTACCCCTACGCTTGGTTCTATTGCAAACGTGGGTCCATTGATGAGCACTTGGCCTGAGAGTCGTCATGATCAGAATCGCAAGTCATATATATCTCAGCTTCGTAACGCATACGCACTCGCTCGGATCTTTCGCGCCAATCTCAAGCCTTTTTGAATATCTTGTGTCCATACTGCGCCTGCCAGGGAGTATTCAGTTGAATTTGCCAAGTCGATCGCCTCTTCTTCAGTATCCACAATTT